ACAGGGTTCTGTTCAGTACATTGCTGGGAAAAACATCTCTTGCACTTTGCGTTTCCAGCTCCTAATCCTGATGTTTGTACCAGACAGTGCACACAAAGGTTAGCTGCTCAGCTCAGAACTAACATTTGTGATGCTTCAAAGACGAGCTAAGATTATGCGGCAGGTATAATAGGCTGATATGGGATTAACAAAAAGGAAAAAAAGAAGGAGTAATTAACACTACGGAGAAGAGAGATTTTACGTTGCTATTAAGGAAAATCAGATGTTTAAAAGAATGGAAAAATCCACAAAATCAAAATGCCTGATGAGGATGACTGATGCTGCGAGGGCTGGAGCAGCTCTGCTCTGGAGCCAGGCTGAGAGAGCTGGGCTGGGGCAGCTGGAGAAGAGAAGGCTCCTCAAGGGGACACCTTAGAGCAGCTCCAGTGCCTAAAGGGGCTCCAGGAAACCTGGAGAGGGGCTTTGGACAAGGGATGGAGGGACAGGATAAGGGGAATGGCTTTAACCTGCCAGAGGGGAGATTGAGATGAGCTCTTGGGCAGAAGCTCTTCCCTGTGAGGGTGCTGAGGCGCTGGCACAGGGTGCCCAGAGAAGCTGTGGCTGCCCCATCCCTGGCAGTGTTCAAGGCCAGGTTGGACACAGGGGCTTGGAGCAACCTGCTCTAGTGGAAGGTGTCCCTGCCCGGGGCAGGGGTTGGAACTGGAGGAGCTTTAAGGTCCCTTCAACCCAAACCAGGCTGGGGTTCTACGACTGTGTTAGTGCCATACACCTGCACGGTGACAGGGATCCTGAGCTGTGCCAACCTCCTGCTGCAGCCAACTCAAAGACAACTCTCAACAACCCAAAGTGTTTTGTTGGTGCTCAGTTTGTCTGAGAGAGTCGATGCACCATTTCCAACAAGCCAGCACAGCCTCCAGCAGTGGTGGCTCCGTGCTGCTGCTGCTGCTGGCTCCTGCACAACTCAGCGACCATGTGCAGCTCGGCCAGGAGAAACGGGCTGTGGCTAAGGTTTACAAGTGAAAAAGAAGGGAAGAAAACTTAACATCTGCTCCAAAGCCAGAGAAGAAAACACACCATTTAACATAATTTCAATTGGAAATGCTTTGGGAAATGCCTTCTGTTCGGCTTAGAGGAATATTATGCATGACTACTGCTGTGAGCAGGTTATAACACAAAATCCACTTACAGTAACACAACAAAAAGAAAGTTACTGGAAACTAAAGAAGATCCTAAAGCGAGACCAGAGCATGACCAAGAGCCCTGTAATGACTATCACATCAATGGACATGAAGTGTCTGGAGGTGTCCAGAAGTTCTCTGAAGCAGCACAACTCAAATGACAGCCGCTCCACATAAACATACATGTGCACACACACACACATACACACACATACATACACACACACACACACACACAAACACATACACATCTACACACACGTTTATCCCCAGCCTGTGCAGAGCTGCAGTCAAGCGACGCCAAACAAATACCCGTCAGCTCAGTGCAGAGACCTCCCTCCCCACTTTGCCTGGTGCACTCTGACCAGCGCATATAAAATGCTGGTTTACTTCACTGTGGTTTATTTACCCTCAGAACATGGGACGGGTCCAGAAAACTTGAAGTTTGCAAGTCTGAGATCAACGAGCTAAAGTTGGATCAGAAAGTAAGTAGGTTTCAGAAGGGACTCTCCCAGTGCAACTGGCAGAGGAGAGGGAAAACAAGGCAAAAGCTTTGCCTTTACTCAGTGAGGTGGTTACAAGTGACACATATTGTCGTGGCAGTTCCTATCATGATCATCTATCACAGCAAGTGACGGCACTGCTTGGCGCGAGTCAACCATCCAGTTAAAGGTGCAGGATAGAAACCTCAGGAGTTGTAGGTCACAGGCCCCCAGGGGCAGGGCTGCAGGAGAAGGAAGAGGAGCAGGAGGGAAGGGAAGGAAAGGGAAGGGAAGCTGCTGGAGGAGAGTAGTAAAGAACCTTGTAAGACTTACTGAGCCCTCCGAGAGCACTATCCCCCTGCAGAGGGGATGTCAGCTCTTCCTTTCCTTGGCAAGCAAACATACACCTCGTGAAACAAATTCTGGTCAAAGAAAATGTTTTGTAGCAGGGCCTTCCACTGCAATAGTTCCCATAAAATCAGGTAATGAGTGTTCCCCTACTATAGATGAGTATGTTTAAACAGTAATTCCAGACATGTATTTGAAAGTTATGGCACTCCCGAAACACCCTGCTCCCCAACTACATCTATCCACACCTTCATCATTCTCACTGCAGTAACTGAACAACTCACCAGCTTCCTGTTATAGCTGTAATTATGGGCTGGCTCCCCATTCATAAACCTAATAATCTCCTCAGCCACAGGTAACTGTAGACTTCAGTTTGAATATTATATCCCTTATGAGTTATTACCATCAGAGCACAAACTTCATCTAAGTAGCACAATGGTTTTCCTGAGGTAGTATTTATCTGCCTGACATCTCCTAAGCCCATTTTGCTGTCCTTCAAGGCTCCAAGAAAACTGAACATCGCTCTGTATGAAAGCAATGGCTCAGGTTATCCTGGGTTACGGGAACTGCTTTAGCTTTTGGCAGATAACACAGTTCTGTAACTTTGAAAATGCAAGTGTCAGAGTGAACAACAGTAACTACAGAGCTGATTTGAGCACTATGAGATGTTGCAGAGTAGGGAGAAAGAGAGGTCTTCAGTATCCAGTCATCAACCCAGACATCCACGTTGCACAGAAGCAAGCCACCAAACTCAGAGCACAGACAGATGGACAATTGTGCCACCCGATCCAGCTACAGTCCTACAGCTTCCCAGGATCCCATGTAGTTGTTTCAGGCATCTCAACTGGTCCGAGACAATCTGAACACACACAGGGCCAGGGATACCTCGCCTAGTAGGGGTTTGCAGAAGACATGCACGAAGAAGGTCTTGCAAAATTTCTCCAGTACCCTACGTGCTCACCCTGGACAGTTAAGGGATGCAATGACAACAAAGAGGATGAAGATGGAAGGTCTGTTATCATGAAGGCACAGAGAGTCACGAATTAAGAACCCATTGCAATGAGCAGATGCATTACTTAAATGGTTTGTGTTGCTTTGTCATGGAAGCCCCAGGAAATGAGTTCTCCACAATAGATTCTGTCTGCTCATAAATCATTTGCTCAGGACAGCGGGATACACCACAGAGTGCTGTTTAATCTCCATCTGCATTTGTCACGCATTTGCAGCCAGAATCAGCAGCACTGAATTGTTTGCATATTTCAACTAGCAGCACATAAATCAGGTTACCTTATTTTCCCACCTCATGCCCAATGCATTTGCTGGTCTCCCAATATTTACAGAGTTATTGCTAATCCCACTACAGATTTCACACCAGGTTACACATTTTGTTGTGTAACCTCTTCTGATTCATGCACACTGATGTGATGCTGTCTGGAATAAAGGTAGGGAAGTAAAGGTATAGAGAGGCCCATGAAAGACTTTTTCCACTACCTACATGGTGCCTTCTTGATTCATAAATATCCAAAGCTGAAGGACCACAGAGAACAGAATACAGTGGAATTATTTTAACTGAAAGATTCATGCCTGTGCTCTGCTTTGCATGGACTGCGGACTGAGGCTGGATTTGATGCCCTAGTTCAGTATCTACCTACCAAAACCCAATCCTACTTTACTGGAAGGTCCCCTTTCTACACTGTTATGATCCAACACTCTCATACTGGGCACAAACGATGGGTTTAGTCTCACTGTAAACTACCAGCAAGAACCTCAACCAAACCGTCAGCTGCTCAAATTCATCTGAACTTCTGGGAAACAAGAAACCCGCCAACTTCCGACATCAGCACAGAAATGGTCTAACATTTCCCACCTCAAAACCAACCAGGAAAACTCCATTTTCCTCATTAGCATCTTTAGCTGATTTGTTTAGAAAACCAAGCAGGAAGGGAACTGTGGCATCTGGAAAAGGCAAAACTCACAAAGCAATTGCTTGCTTTCCCCAAATAGACATTTCTCAAATGCTCAGAGCTTAAATTAGTGTTTGAAAGACAGGCCCTTGCTCCAGTTCCCCAGAGTCTCCCATAAACGGCAGTGTAGGGATACTAACGCCTCTGCTTCCACAGCTCCTGAGGAACCCACATCCAGCTCTGGAGCAACAAGGTTTGCTCCCTGTGCTGTGCAATCTCTTTGGTACATATCAACTGCTGCCACACTACAAAAGGAGCATGTTCTACTGCAGTATCAAACATCAGCCTATCTATTTGTCTGCACATGAACACACACTTCTAAAAATGAACATTTCTGGTTTCCATATATCCATTTTCCCCACACTTTTGTCCTCTGTCTGTTGCTCAATGGAATTTTCCTTCCCTATTATTTTGTTAGGTTCAGTCTCATTTGCCTACACCCCAGCATCTGTCCAAAGACTTTAATATATCCCACTAAGTAGAGATGAGACAAAAAGAAGAGTTTGCTTGTCACCAATTGAGGAAAATACAGATACTTTTGTGCATTTTGGTAATGCCCAAATACAACATGGTTTCTGAGTGACGGTTCAGTCAATACAATAAAGCAGATTGACCCGTGCATCCTCAAAGGACAGTGAGACCATTAAAACCCAAGAGGGACTGTGCATGTAACTCCCATTTCCATCTGAAAATTGTCTAAGTCACTACTGAGAGCGGAACACCCCGCTTCTGCTGAGAGCTCATGCAACAAATTAAAACCTGAGGCCCAGCAGCAGGAAGCCTGAACACTGTCAGATAATGAAGGACAATTAAATGGGAGGAATAGAATGAAGTTTTACATTAATTTCTCTGTGTGTGCTCATGTCCATGCCTCCTGTCTCAGACACCAAAGCCCTGCTCTCTCTCCAGAAGTGATGTGAACCACAGGAACCTGCCCTATTCCTTGTACCAAGCACAGAGCACAAACGTCCTCTTTACACCACCACCTCACCACACAGTATTTTAGAGCCATCTCCTCACTGACTTACAAACACAAACTGGTTTCTGAGCAGACCACTGGCTACTCTTTTGGCAGGTAATTGTTTTCTGTCCCTTCAACTCAAAGGCAGGCTGGCACTCAAACTTCAAACTGTCCCCGTGGCGAAAGGTGGATCCTTCTCTCCTGCCGTAGGCTGGGATCCCAGGATCACCGCAGCTCCCTTGGTCGATCTCTGAAAAAGAGAAAACAGAAGTTGCATGGGGAAGGCTCTGACACAGAGCTGGTGCAGTACCTGGCTTGTGCCTGTGCCGCATCCTGCTCGGCAGCGCTCCCGCATCGTATCCCCAAGGGAGCGCCGGTCCCCTCCGCACTGTCTTCCATGGGAGCAGGGGCAGCAGCAGCGCAGAACGCAGCCAAGATCGCTGCCATAGCACATGGATTGTACCACTGAGAGGCCCTCCTAACAACCTAACTGCTTCCTCATCCTTAAACTAATCCCAACTAAATGAAAAACACATTTCTCATTTACATTTCATTGTAAATGAAAAACTGACATTTTCTCCTGCCCAAGGAGATCCTGCTCTGCATTCACTTCAAGGACCTCTTGTGAAGCACAGACCACGTCTCACTAAACAGGAGCAGACCTTGGACTCCTCTGGCAAAGGGGACACAGTTGAGCGTGATTGTCAGATTCCCACATCTCCTGTCTCTCCCTCCCCACCCCACTGCCGTTCCTGCTTGTGGTCCCGAAGCAGACAGCTGCCACCCTCCTGCACAGAAACACACCGTTAATCTCTCGCTGCACTTGTATTTTGACTTCAAATAAATCATGAACACAATTTTCTGTTATCTTCTGCTCCGTCCAATTTCATCTCAAAAGGGCCCCCTGCTCTGTATCAGTGCGCTGCAAAACTTCATTCCTTTACAGCCTCTCCACTGCTCCCACATTATCTGCCTCACATTCATCTCATCTTCCATGTTCTCCAGTTTTTATCCCCATCATCTATGATCAGCCTCACTGTCTTTTCTTCCCATTTTCAATTTCTTACACCAAATTGGAAGCTTCTTTTATGACATTTGCTTTACAGAGGAAAATCACATAATCCAAGATTTGCATGACTCCATTTAATATTCCAATTTGGTTTGAGTAACAACAAGCACCTCATTATTATTCTGACTTGAGGCAACTTAGATACAGGTGTATTTTGAATAGAAGTCACAACAAGGCACCTAGCTTCTGCTACTGCTGCATGCATCCTGAACTTAAAAGTCACTGCCAGGTAACGAAGCATCCCCAAAATAATTTAGCATAAATTAATATTAATACTAAAGTTATCATGAAATAGGTCTCTCTTTTTGCCTGTCAGTGAAAACAGTTGGCCAGGATTTATGTATCATAGAATCATTAAATGGTTTGGGTTGGAAGAGACCTTAAAGCTCATGCAGTTCCAACCCCCTGCCACGGGCAGGGACACCTTCCCCTAGAGCAGGTTGCTCCAACATCACTGTGTCCTGGCAGAGACACAGGAATCCGATAACACTTCCTGCTACAAGCCAGCAGCCTTTAAATGTTAATTTTTGTTATTCCTTTCCTTCCCTCACCTTGAAGTGTAGAAACACAGGATTAGCAAGCAGCACCCATGGCAAGCTGTCCTGCAGGATGTCCAACACCCAGCGCCTCCAGCTCCTGCCACCACTGCAGCCTGTGATGCTGGGTGCCCTAGGAAGTGAATGTTGGAAGTCCTGGTACCACTCTGGTTGCTGACACTTGGTCAGAAGCTAACACATCACCTGCCAGCCCACCCTGTACCCGGCACTGGTGGAGCCATGGGGAGCAGAAAGCTCTAACTCTGAAAAGCAACAAAACTCTTGAACACAGACACTCACCAC